CGACAGCCTCATCCCAGCAAGCTCCTGATCACTTGGAGTTTCAGCAGGGCTGGAAGGACAAACGGAACAACAGGGAGGAGAATGGAAAGAAATGAGCTGAGACGCAGCCAGGGGCCTCGCTAAGAGGCGAGGGGGAAACTTCCCTCCCGACTTGCTCTCCCTGGCTCTGCACAGACCCCAGCAGCCCATGGCTTTGCTCCCCTCCTGACAACACCCAAGAAGAAAACTTGACATCAGTCTTGTTCAGGGAAACACCTTGGGTTTAATCTATCTTCCCCAGGGCCATGAACAGATCAGAAAGGACCAACATCTAGTGCTTTAACTGCACAAGTCAGATCCCAGACTTCCCCAGGTCTTTGCTACAGCTCTGGTTATTTATTTTTATGGAAGTTTGTCTTTTCCAACCAATCAAAAGAGGATTATGATTATTATTACTACTGTTATTTTCTTTTTCCTAGCAAGGAAACAGCTCATTTGCCATCCTCATCTCTCTGGAAGCCTGGTGATTACGTGGCACTGGATGTTTTTTTAAGCAGATCTTACAGGCAGTGAGACGTGAAGGTCATGGACCCACAGCAGAGCTGGCGGCACAAGAAACCTTTGGGTGGAGGTACGGGACAGGCCCTTGCTCATGGGACTTTGAGCATCTAGAATTGTGTCAGCCAGCCGTTGGACCCCAACCCAGGTCCTGGCTTCAGCACACACCATGCTCCCAGTTAAAGATTAAACTGCTGTAGCGTGCAGGGTCCCACAGCCCAGCTCCAGGCATGCAACCCATCTAGGTAATTACTTAATTAACGAGCCTTCTAGCTTCCCACTGGCTCTTTGCCAGCAGCTGCCAGGGATCGCCCTGGGGTGCAGAGGAATGCCAGCACCGTGGGTACTTGCCTGCGGCACCGCTCCACGTCAGGGTCCTCGCGGTAGTACTGCAGCCCCCCGTTGCGCAGCGCGTCCTCTGGGTTTGCAAACGCCTGCAAGAGACAGCCCCCATAATATATATGCTTATAACGTTTACAAGTAGCAGCTTTGCCTCTAACCTTTAAGACCAGTGGGGATTTCTTCTTGCCCCAGTTTCTCACTGCGCTACACAAATACAAGAACAGCTGAGCTTCTTTGTGCACGGTCCTGGGGTATAAACCGGGCACCTCCTGACACGTTTTCCTTATCCTCTGAAAAACCCACCTCTGCCCACCGACCAGGTCCCAAACTGGGGCTTCGAGGGTGCTCCGGCCTGACCCCAGTCCATTTGTCCCCATGAAACCCACAGAAAGGAGACTTTGCCAACAAATGAGATCATTGCTGACACAGAGCCTGCAGATACTGAATAGGGCACTGACAGGCTAGTTCACCCTCATGAGAAAGAATATTCCCTGGCTGGCTTTTTTGGCAGTGATACTGTGTGACTGAAAACAGCCCCAGGGGAAATCGGATCCTACATTAATAAATTTACAAATAAAAATTATTTATATGAACTCCCCACCTACACTTACAAGCTGTTCCTCAGGGACCTGGTTACACATGACAGCTTCACTTTGCAAACTAGAAAGGACCCTGGCACTTTATTTAATCATGTTCCAATCCCAGGGTGTCCCAGGGCCAGAGCACCATGTAGAAACATGAAGAGAAGCAGGCAAATCATCAGTTACAATGGTGTTACAAGCACAGGGATCTCTCTTTGTATTTTACCTGAGAGTAGAAATCTCTCCCTCTCGCTACACTGATGCAGTTGGAAACTCGTCAAATACTTTAAAACAGATTTGACAGACAGGTGAGTTTTGTCACAAGTTCAATTTGAGTCATGGGCAAGAAAAGGTTCATTTAACCCTGCCTCTTGATGGCAACTAGAGCTCCCAGTCCTCCCTATATTCCCCCCCGGTGTCCAAGAACCATTTCCTTCAGATATTGTTTTTATTCCCAAGAACTTCCTGTACTCCTGGAACTTTCACAAAACCATTCAGCCTCTGAAAGCTCAAAAGCTTTCTGCTACATTGCAAGAAAAAAGATCACTGCAATGATTTCTCCTTAAACCTTTCTTTTTTCCCCGCTCCTTTTCTTCCAGACACAGCAAACTAACTGTTAACAGCCTCTTTCCAGAAGCAGCTCACCTGCATGGCATTTTAGATCTGAAATTTCTATTTAGATTAGGGTCTAGAAATTATAAACATCAAGCTACAGATGGTAGAAATAAACAGAAAGAGCCAAAGAGAAGCGATATATTTAACTGCTGCAGCTATGGAACATGTTTTCCTCTCAACTTAAAGAAAACTCAGCTTGCTTCAGGGAAATTTTGTTGGCCTTTACAGAAGTAACAGAAGAGAGAGAAACCACAGAAAACCAAGCAAAAAGCCAAAAAGGGAGAAGAAGGAAGGCGAAACTGGGTCTTACCTTCTTTCTGAGCCTCACTTGTCCCGTAATGATGGCAACGACATACATTTTTAAAATCAAGATCGTGCTGTAGAACGTAAATGACATGAACACTTTGTTCTCCATTATTTCAGAGGAAGGTGCCGCTCGGTTGTTTGCAGCGCTCACGGACAGCGGAGATCTTGCTTGGGCTGTGAGAGAGCTCTGCGGGAGAGGGGGCAAACAGCCACGTTTAAACACAACACAAGGCACCACCGTCTCTTCGGCGA